ATCATCTGCCCAGGGAGGTGGTGGAGTCACCATCCCTGGATGTGTTTAATAAAAGACTGGATGTGGCACTCAGTGCCATGGTTTAGTTGAGGAGGTGTCTGATCATAGGTTGGACTTGTTGACCTCAAAGGTCTTTTCCAGCATCATTCATTCTGTGATTCTGTAAAATTTTACTGTAATTAATAGAATCATAAAACAGTTTGGGTTGGAATGGACTTTTAAATTTCATCCAGGACAACTTACCTGCAATGAGCAGGGACATCAACTAGATCAGGTTCCTCAGAGCCCTGTCCAACCCAGCCTTTAATGTTTTCATGGATGAGGGGTCCACCACCTCACTAGGAAACATTTCCCTGTGTTTCATCTCCCTCTGAGCAAAGAATTTCTTCCTCATAACTAATATCTCCATTTTTTTCTAACCAGCTTCTAACAAAGAGCCTGGGCCCATCTCAAAATAAATTGGTCTCAACTTAGTGGAGAGGCTTGGACACTGTGAAACCCAAAGGAATGGGCAACAGAAACAGGTAAGAGTGTTGAAGGTGAAAACTTTAAATAAGCTAGCCCAGTGTTTGCATCAGGAGGGCCTTGTGTGCTGTACACAATTACTTCCTTCTGTTATGTTTGTTTTATTCTGTATTTTTATACACCGCTGATATGGTGGAGCCCTGCCAAAAATGAATGCTAAAATGCCAAAAGGAGGAGAGGCTCTGCTGGACCCTTTCTAAATGAGTAGGAGCCAGGAAGCAGGAAAGCCATAGGCACTCCTGTTCATGCACAAGTTCCAGCCCCAAACTGCTGGCTCTGGAAGGTGCATTTTAACTAATCATGGAATTAAACCCATAATGGTTCATCACAGCTTTAGGCAGGTGCACTTTTAGCAAGGTTACTAATTGCCCTGAGAGAGCTGCAGCCCAAAAAACTAAGAGAGTCCAAATCCTTCTGTGAGGTACCAACACTCAGTACTAATTCACACAGAAGACCTTTTTTTTGGTTGTTTTTAACATGAATACTGTCCTTGGCATCCTATAAGACATGCTACATTCCCATGGGGATAAATGGAGGTTTGTTGCAGCTTTGACTGGTCTCTTGTCAGACACACAACATCTAATTCACTGCAGTATTTCTACTTGTCCTGCTCTGGTTGGATTAACATTCTCCCACCATTACACTGCTCCTTCTAGCTGGGAGGGTTCAGTTCTTCTTTGATTGCTTTATCTCCTGTAAAGTAAATGAAAGGGGGATGGAGCTGCAGATTGGTGTGTGGCTCAGTCCCAAGGCTGACTCAACATGTCTTAAGGGACCTTTCTGTTTATTCAGAATGGTATTGCGGGGTTTCCCCACAGGGAGCACCCAGGCTCTCTCCCTGGGTGCTCCTCTCATCCCAGCCTGCAGCTCTCCTGTAAGTGTCTACATCTGGATTTGGTTTATGATTTAATCATGGAAGAGAAGCAGGTTCAGGAAGGATGTGGTTCATCTTAGCTTAAATTTGGTGCTGAAGCTGGGATGATCCTTGCCATCACCAGTGAAAAGGGGAGTCCAGATGCTCAGATGGGGCTGTTCTTGTAGGCCTCACTTTTAAGTTAGGTCTGAGGATAAATGTAGAGACCTGGCCTCTAATTGTCCTTGCTGAGCTGGGAAAGAAAGATTCTCAGACACAGCACATAAAACACTTCCCTTCCCACAGCCTTTTCCTCTCTTGTGAGTGAGAAGATGACATTTATATTCACACAGCATTCAGTCCAAGGTACCCCCACCCCATTTCATCCTTGGGCGCTGCTCTAGTAAAAATAATAAACAGCTGAATGTGGCAGTGGGGTTTGGGAATGATTCCAGCTCCCAGTTATTTCTTGATGAATAACAGTATTTACAGAAGGCCTTTCACCCTGAGGTGCTCCACAAATTATAAACATATATTGCCACATCACAGAAATGGGTGAAACAGCCAACTTCAAAGTTTCAGCTGGGAAAACCCCACAGCCAAGCCAGTGCAGGGGGACAGTCACCTGCCAGATGGCAAAGGGCCAGGCAGTCCTACACACAGGACTGCTGCTACACTGGAGGTATGTCCAAACTGCAAAGTACACCACAGCATCATCTTTCTCCTCTCTGGAAATTAACTGTATGGTCTTTAAATTCCTGTGTTTAAACAATGCCACTCCCTCAGTGCCAAAGTTGAAACCATCTGTGTTTTATTGTGTTTCAACATGCCTGTAAGGTCCATGTGATTGTTCACCTTTATTTCCTCTCCAAACAAATGTTCCTCTCCATTTCCCTCACACGTGCTTGTGTCAGCCACAAATGACTGCTGGTTGCTGCAACTCTAACAAGTGCAAACACCCAAAGGAGAAACTAAAAACATGTATAAAAAATGTATAAAACTGACAGCTAAAGGAATCTTAAAAAAGGTGACTCAGGCATTTTAGCTGGGAGTGTGTCAGGAAAATTTAGCTGCCACAACTTGCTGTTGCACCTTTGGAAACCTGAGAGAGCAAAAGAGCCTGAACCTGAACGTGGAAGTGAAGAGTGCACCCCAAGGGTGGGTAAGGAAGGTCTTCAAGCTGCCTGTGTCCTGAGGATCCAGCACCTTCCTTCTGACAGCAAATGTGGGACTGAAATGTGCTCATTTCTCAGCATCACTGACCACCCATGTGTTTATCCATCTGTCTTCAGGAGCCTGGAGAGGGATCAGCAAAAGGAACCTCATGCTCCTATTAAGTGACATTTTTACAGAGGAACCACAGGATAGAAAGTTGGTAAAAAGTCAATGATCCAGAAAGAAACTTCAGCATCTAACTGGTATCCTTTAGTTTGTAACCACCAGTTTATATTAGGACTTTCTGCTTTTTTGACAGCTCCTTGTCTGTCCCAGTGAAGATCAAGAGGCTTCAGAGCTGGTGGTGAGCACAGGGACTTGCAACTGGGATTTTTCCCCTGTTTCATGTAGCACAACACAGGTTCATTCATTCTCAGCTGTAACAGACTGAATCAGCAGATAGCTGAGAGAGCAGCAGGACACCATTATTATTTCTTTATTATTCTCCACTCAGAAGTGAATGGGAAATAATAAATTTAAATATTTGGAAGGTAACTGTCCAAAGAAAAATGCAGGTCATGCAAAAATAAATGCTTCTCAAGAGTGTAGTTTATGACAGTACAAAATAATCACAGAAATGAAATATGGGAACCCCCAAATTTGAGACATCTAGAAACCATCTCACCACTTTCTTCTCCCTTCTAGTTTTCCGAGGGCTCTGGCTGCACAGTTAGTTCTGCAAGGCCAGGTTTGGTTTCAGTGTGATTAATGATTAGCAGCAGCAACAATTTTTTTCAATCCCTTCTGGAGATCAGGGGAGGAGAAAAAAAAATGTAGCTCTCCCTCATGATTCCTGCTGTCAGCAGGGCTGGACTCTTGGAACACCACTGGGAGCTGCAGGTATAGCAAGATCATCAGGAGAGGATTTGCTCCATCTCCCACCTCACCTGCTCATCCCTTCCAAGCTGACCTTCCTTTTCTTTTCTGTTATTTAGATGAATGAACTCCTCCCCAAAGAGTTTGCTGAGTGATAAGAACTCAGATCATCCATTACCCACCTTGTGTTGGGTGGCTGCTGTGGCTGGAATGAGATTTGCACGTGGTCAGACACATTGTCCTGCAATCATAGCCTCCCCTAATTGCATTTTAGCATGAATCAAAGCCTGGCTGCAGAGGTGTTGCCTTCCACTTTTGTCCCTGTAATGATTTCTCTCCTGGCTGCTGCTGCTGAAAAATCCTTGCTTTGGAATCAAACTGAACCTGAAAGTGTTATTGGGCTTCACCACAAACGAGTCAGTTTTAGGCAGCATATCCAGTTCCCAGTGGAACAGCCTTGCCCTTGCCGAGTTAAACTCCCTGTGCCAGTGTTTCCTGTTTTCTAATGGTCTTTGGAACTTTATATTTAAGTCATATAAAAGCATGAAATCAGAATTTAGATACTCTAAGAAACATTGAAATGACAAATTACCTAATCCTAATAAATGTATAGAAATAAATAGGTATGGAATACTGAAAAGGTACTGGTATCTCTAGAATCTGTCCTCAATGTAGTAGAGACAGTGTAGAAGACATGGTTATGCATTCTTGTGCCAAGAAGTGAGACCATGTGATGCCTAGACATTATCTCATTAGCATCCTGTTCATTCTCAAATCTAAATCCAGATAACAATTGTTTAATTTTAATTTTCTGCATGCATATATAATTCGTTCATTATCCACCTTTATGTGAAGTCAAGACATTCAAAGATGCTGCAAATACATAAATTTTATTCCTGCAGCAGATAAGCAAATTCTACAGGTCCTTTCTGTGGGTTCAAAAAGTGTATTTGAAAAGGACAATTGTTTAAATTACTCTCTTTGCACCCAAGGAAATGAATGAATTTGTGTTGACCATACCACTTACAGGTGACTAAAATATGTATAATGACCTAAACCCCATTGCTTTGTCTCTATCAGGGCAAACACATCAGCAGCATTTAATGTCAGATGCTGCTATAGTTGGAGAAAGGAAAGACAATCTGATAAATCTAATTCCCTGATAAAAATCACACCAAACACCCTTGGGGAAGAGGAAAAACATCCTGTCTCAAAATTTCATTCCACCCATGTTGCCCTCCAAATGCTAGAGAAGTCACTGAGGTGCTGCACTTTGTTCATATCTGAATGGAAGGTTGAGGTTACCTCCAACACGTCAGATTTTTTTTAACATCTTCAGCTTACAAATCATTTATGGAATTACAAATAAGAGGTTCTCTGGTTACAAAGGGATGGCATTAGCCTTGGGAAATCAGACTCTCTCCCAGGACATTGCACAGTGGATCATGTAGCCAGCTTTCAAAGGGAAAGCCTGAAACACTACCACTCTCTGCAGCAGCTTTTCACCTTGCCAAGAGCAAGGCTATGGGGGCAAAGATAACTTTTATAGCACTGTGCTGGTGTTTCTACCTTGCTGCTGATACCCAAATGTGGCATTTTAACACTGTTATCTTCCATTACTCCAGTTTTAATACAGGTCAGGGGAGTTTTGTGTTAGATTTTAAGTCTGACTGATGAGGGAATTGATGTTGAGCTTCTGTAAGAAATTTGTCTTGTAACAGTACAAAATGTTGATGAAGTAACTAAAACAATACAAAACCACTGCAAAACACACTAAATGGATTAAGAATTGGCTAACTTCAGGTCTTAAATATTATTATAACCAGAGAAATTTTCTTAGAGTGGGTGTGTGCTTGGACAGATCCCATAGGGACTACTTCTTGGCTAAATACTCTTGTATTTTATCAAAAACTTAGGAAAAAAAATCCTTTAAATCATTATCAACACATTTTTCAGATGAAAAAGGCTGGGAAAATGGTCAAAAGAAGGAACCCAGGTCACTGATAGCAACGGGTAATTGGCAATCTGAAGGTAAGCAAGTACAACCAAGTTAAGTCACAACACTGGAGAAAGAAGATATTTGGCTGTTGGGGGCTCCAGTGGTTCTACACTGGAAAGTCATGACCAAAAAAGGGTTGCAAGTTATGGTGAGTAATCAGCTGTCCATGAACTGACCTAATCTTTGTATGTATAAGCAGAGGAAATCCATGGAGAAGAGGGTGATAATGTTGTCTGGGTATTCCCCATCTCCTGAAACTGCTGCCAACCCATTGTGCCTGGCTCTTGCATCCACAAAACAAGTGGGAGGCTGAAAAGCTGGGGACAATTCAAGAAAGAGGCACAAGAATGTACACAAATCTGTGAAAGATGTCTTGCAGGGAGAGATTTAAGGAGCTTGGTCCATTTAGCTCATCAAAGGAAGGCTAAAGGGTGGCTGGACCCTGATCCAAGAACCTCCAGGGAGGAATTCAGCATCAGTTGTCTTTAGTTTTGCTAACAGGAAAGTCACATGCCACCAGCCTTGCTCTGAGTTCCCACACCTGGTGCACACCTCAGCCATGTCCTGCCACCTTACCAGGGGGACACAGTGACCTTTCTCTCAAAGAGGAGTCCAGGTGCCTGCTCCAACCAGAGCTTGGCACACTCTGACAGGTCCCCCAGCTGCTTCAGCCAGAGACCAGGAGCCTGTTGCACACCAGATTTTCAGTGTGAGTGTGGCCAAAGAATTTGGGGCCGGGATCCTCCAGCTCTGTTTTCATTCTGTGGTTTTTGTCTCTGTTCTGATCCTGGTGCCAAAGAAATGTTGCTTTGTTTGAGAGATGGGAATCTGGTGGCATAGCCTGGTCTCAGGACAAGCACTCCCAAAGCTCTCATCTGATCTCTCAAGAGAGAAGCTAAACAAGAAGACAGAGATTGCAGGCTCAGGCAGAGAAGTGCTGTGCCTTTCCCCCCAAAATCCAGGAAGGATTATGCACTGACCATCTTGAGCAAGAAAAAGGGAAAAGGCTGGAGAGCAGCAACACTTCGGAACACTGTACATGAGAAAGACATTTAAAATAAGTTATGTACTGAGCTCATATCTCAGCAGCATTTATTTCCCCCATCCTACCTGCCCCTTTTGGAGACCTCTTATCCCATCACTTCAAAGGCCAAAGCCAAACATGACAGTTACACAAAGGTCAGACGGGTGGTTCACATCAGGATGACTCCATCTGGCTGCAGATCCTGCCTGCACTGCAGTCCCTCCCTTTGTGTGGGGGTTTTCTCCTCTACTCTACTGGGAGATGCCTGGAAGTACAATGAGGGGAAAATAACAAAAACGGTGAATACGTAACAGGAACAATTTGTTCTTGGATTTAGGGCTGTCCTCAGACAATATGTAAGGCAGTGTTTAAGTGAAATAGTTGACTAATAAACCCTACAAGGACTGACATAATTAATTAATGCCTGGAAGTGATATACAGGGTTATGGAGAAGTTGGAAGTGGGTGTAACAGAGTGGGATTACAACAGTAGCTGAGAAAAGCCCACACCGTTGGAGGTAGCTTTTCATAGAGAACAAACTGTGAAGAAAGTACATGCTGAAGAACAAGCTGGGTGCTTTAGCACACTTTAAAAGTGTCTTTAACACTTTATAAGAATGTGCTAAAAACAGTGTTCCTATATTTTGCAAGCTGCATATTTTTAATTGCAGCAAATTACTGACTTGCACAAGCTTTACCAGCTCTGCTGAAACTCAGGCTGTTATACTTAGGAATAATTGCATGAACTACTTAAATGTTCAAACACTGGTGAATAAACAAGTATTGTTCTGTGGTAACTTCTCAATAAATTGTTGCTTCTTCTAGTTGAACCTTGTGCTGACTGTAAAGACAACTTTCTTATGGCAGTGCTAAAAACTTCTGTGCAAGTGCAAGATATAATTTGAGGACTTTTTCCTTAATTGCCAGCTCAGCTGAATCCTACACAACTGCTACATTCCAAAAGGGCAAAATTGGAGCTGTTTGTTTATTTTCTCTTCAGTGGGAAAACGAAGCTTTCCAGGGAGGAGCGACTGCAGCTGAAATGAATTCAGCATCACAATGGCAAAACAAGAAGTGCATTCATGTAGCAGCACGTTCGAGTGTGTGCGCTGGAGCCCCTCCGCAGTGTGGTTGCTATGGCGTCTGTGGGTGGTGGTGGAGATGACAGGAGATTCTCAGCAGAAATGCCAAACCACACTCTAATATATCTCATACTGACCTGCTATTAATTCAGTGGCTGCTCTTTTATCATAAAAGAGGGAAAAAAAAAAAATCAGCTCAACTTTCACTTCCAGAATAGATGTGAAATTTAAATCAGCAGTGGCTGTAGGGGTGTAAATCACATGACAGAAACTTTAAAGGTTGTGGTTTATTTTGCTGGGGCTTTCTGAAACCATAGAAGGATTGTGAGAAAATGGGAATAAGCTGATAGTCACATTAAAAAGTGTGACTATGCACTTGCCCATGGATTTTGCCGTAAAATGTAATGATTGTCAGAAATGTGCATTAACTGAAATACGAGGTTTTAATTCCCTGTGGGTTTTTCCTAGGCCAGTGTCAAACCTGTAGCAGAGCTGGGTATTTCTTTGGTCTTATTCTCTTTATTTACAAAAACTTAGGAGGTTTTCCTTGATCTGGAGAAGAATCAATTAAAAAAATAATTCTAGGTTCTTTTCCTTGGCACTGTGTTTACTATCTTTGTGCCAGAGGCTTGGACTTCTTTTACAGCTCTATGGAAGCTGTTTTCCATCCATGTCCTGTCCTGCACATGGCTTTGTTTGGGCAGGGACAGACACAGTTTTGTGTCATTTAAATTTGTGTCTTTGTTGAAGATGACTGGCCATTTTACAGTTATATACACCAGTCTTCTGTATTGAAACACAACTGAGTATCCTGTCTGGACCATTCTGGTGGCTGATGGCTTTGTGCTCATAGGGAGGTGACACCCTTCCTGCAGGAACACACTTCTGGAACTGCTCTGGAGGCTGATATCAACAGGAATTCGGGCTCTGCTGCCACTGGGATCTTCCCAGGAGAGCAGCAGCCTTAAACCTGGGCTTCTCTGAGGGCTCTGAGAGGCTGCTGTGTGGTGAAAGGTGGGAGTAGGACATTGGTGCTGCTTGCCCTGGGGAGTAAAAACCACACCACAAACCAGCTCAGCAGAGGATGTGAAACCAGCTCAGAGGTGCCAAGGTTAGTCCTGTCTTTCCCTGTATTGTTTCCTGCCCAGCAGATCCTGACCAAGGTCACAGCCAGGGATTTTCCCATTTCCATCAGCCCCCAACCTCAGAGCCAGCCTGACCAGGGAATACTGGGGCCATTGAGAGAGAGCACACAAGCTCACTGCACAGGGGCAGCCAGGGATTCTTGTCCTGTACAAGCATTTCAGTTCATCTGCCTTTTTCATTCAGGAGCATTAACCTACAGTCTAATACAATTATGTACTATATGCTCTTAAATTTTTAATTAGTTACATGCACTCGAGAGCAAATGGTCCTTTTTTCCCCTGATACACACATAGACATCCTCTCAGCCTTAATGGGGTTTACATGGCTTTTATCAAGTGATAATAAAAGCCTAAACATTGACTTCTGTTGACATTTACTGGGTAATTCCTGCTCTCAGCACATGGGGGATGTAACTGGGCACTATTAAGGGCAATGTAATGAGGAGAAAAAACATTTAAGGTTAACGCACAGCTTTACCCATGTTACATACATGGTTCTTTTGGAAGTGTTATGACAAATCCCCCAGAAGGAAGCAAATCAAAGGAAAAACTGATTTGAAAGTCATGGGTGGGTGTTTTCTCCCCTGCAAAGGGCACATCTGTACCCTGAAACATCTGGGTGAGTGTCTGTGGGAGGCTGCAGGAGCAGGGCAGGTGGCTGCGTGCAGCACCTCACTCTTGCTCTGGGGGATACTTGAAGGAGATAACAGCAGCTGGGCTGCTTTGAGCCATTTTCATGTGCCTCCAGTCTCTTGTCAGGCAGGCATGAAGCAACAAGTCCTTCAGTGCTACCTCAGCATTCCTTGGGGCTGGAAACGGGGTTCATTCCCAAAGGGTGGGACTTGCCTCTCTCAGCTTCAGCTCTTTGCACCACAGGTGCCTCCCATGTTCCTAAAGCCTTCTTGCCCCTAAAGCATCTAAATTCCTTCCCCCAATACTAAGAAATAAAACTATTGCACCTAAAGTTCAGTGACAGCAATTCTACCTGAACTGTGCATGAATGACCCTGGTTTCCCCATGATTTCTGGCTACAAAGCCATGGCCTTTTTTTTTCCCCTAGAAGTGCCTTGGTCTTTAATGGTGAGAAGAAAGCACTATAAATGGTTTGCACAAGGTGTGTCTCACCCCTGTTCTGTCCAGGAAGCTTTGGGACAAGAAGGGCCACATCATAAACTGGATTACCGAGACACAGCCATTGTCACAGTTGCTCAAAACATTTTAAAATGTTTCCATAATACCAACATTTTTTAATGCTTTGAGGGCTGAATTTTGCATTAAGAATTTACTTTCTGGCAAGGTTTCTCATGCAACACAGAAAAACACACAGCCTGGATGTATTTTTTATGCAGGTTCAGGGCAGAGTCTCAATACTGTTCTCCCAGCTGTTTCTGATGTATCATAGCAGAGGTGACTTTTAGAATCATCAGATGGTTTGTGTTGGAAGGGACCTTCAAGATCATCCAATTCCAACCCTCTGCCATGGACAAGGGCACCTTCTACTAGACCAGGACTTTCAAAGAGGCAGCAGGATGGGAAGGGAGCAAGGAAACACAAGCAAATTTATTCACAAGTTCTATCCACATGCTTAACCACCTCCCAGAGAAAGTCAGATTGGTGTTAGCAGCACCATGCTTTTATTGGAAAAATGGAACAGGAAAACCTCTGCAGTGCATGGCTGCTCCAGGCTGAACTGCTGTTGGACAGATGCTGAAAACTGATCTCCCCAAGCACCCCACAGCCAAGAGTGACACACATTTATTGTGCCACCACAACACAGCTCCATGGAAGAGCCATGTGCCTGCTGCCTTTTATCCAGTGGTTGAAATGAAACAGGAGAGCACTGGGGGGTTTTTAAACTTTCATATTGGAAAACTTGCCTGTTGCAAGGGGAATGTGGTGCAGGCTCAGCTGCAGGCAAATACAGCCAGAGGCATCCCACACACATACCAGCACATACACAGGGAGCCATACACAATATGCAAACACCCTGAAATCCCAAACAAATATCTCGAAAATCACTTGTGCTCCAGAGGGAACAAGGGGCCTGCCCACACACAGAATTAACAAGTTAATTAGTGTTTAAATATTTCCTTGCAAGCTCTGGTTATTGCTGCTTCAGTGAGAGTAAGACTAGCAAGAGCAAGTGACTGATGGAAGAAGAATGGCTCTGGTTTTCAATATGCTCTGATAAATGATAAAAATCATGCAGGTAAACCGTGCATGGTTTTTATTACAGCTTTACTGTGGCATGATTGGGAACTGAGGGAAATGCTTCTTTTTAAAAGCATATTCATTTTGATCTAGCTGTGACCTTTTAATATGTTCAGGTCCCTGCAGGGGAGACAAAGTTACTTGTGGTCTTCTGTAAGAAAGAATGAGGAAAAAAAGGCACTTTTAGATGACATAAAAGCAAGGATCAGCCAAGGGGAAATAAATTTTCACTCTCTGAAGTATTCACCAGACTTGATGATTTATTCATTTTGATACATTCCCCTATGTGACCTCATGGGTTTGTTGGCTCTGCCACGAAGACTCACCTGGAGCTAGAGGAGGTTGGGGTATCTCTGCTTTGCCTGTAGGCAGTGAATTACTGCTCACCCCTTCCTGCAGTTGTTTTAATATTTACCCATCTGGGAAGGAAGCTGTGATTTGTTTTGTTATCTCCTTTGAATGCCACCAGCTGAGGTAGTGCTGGGAGAATCAGAGATGTGCACAGCACCTTGCTGAGGTTTTTACTCTCTCTTTACTGCTACTGTACAACTCCAGGGGGGATAGATGGAAGATAGAAAAGAGTATGGATTTATACTATAATCTCCACACCTTGGGCTCTTTTTTTTTTTTCTTTTTTTTTTCTTTTTTTTTTTTTTAATTTAATAGAAAAGAATAGGATACTTCAGTTGGAGGGGACCTACAATGAACAACCACCTGATCAATACAGGGTTGTCCAAATGTTAAAGCTTATTTTAAGAACATTGTTTGAAGTTTTTTAACTCAGTGGTTTTTAATTTAGTTTGCCAAGTTTGTAGGTTGCCTCTTTGCACCACTTGTGCCACGGGAATTGAAGCTGTGCATCTTTTCAGGCCTTTGGGGACTGAGTTATAATTTAGGTGCTTCTGCTTCCAGAAACATGACTAGCAAGTCAAAATGCAAGGTCCTTGAATTCTGCATTTTAAAAGAGCATGAGCAGTGAAGGGTTTGCAGGCTGAAGCACTCTGTGACCAGAATATGTGTTTACTAAGCAAGGAGTCTGGCAAATAGTTTTTCCACAGGACCAAGGCTTTATGGAAACATGTATCAAGGAGGGAGAGGAAAAACATGACCACTTTAGTGTCTAGAAATTGCTGCCTGCATTACAGAGATGACAGCCTAACACTTCACAGTTCACTCCTCTCAAGGGCTGACAAATGGTTTGATTTTATGTGAGATCCTTTGTCTAGAGAAGTTCCCTCGTACCCACAAGAATCAGATCAATGTTCTGAGCACAGCTGCAGCAAGGCAGCTGGCTGCCATCAGGACATATTAATTCACATTTCAGTATTCTCCAGTTTTGCCACCAACTCTTTGTCTGACCTTGAGCAAGGCATTTTATCCAGTCAGGTACCTCCTGATGTGCCTGCAGATGGGAATCTTTCCTTCTTTCAGTGACTGCTATCTGTTAGTTAAACCTGAACCTAAAATGCGCTTTGAGCTCTTCAGATGACACATCACAGTGGTGCAGGTGTTACTGAAACATGCAGGTAGAAGCACTGAAAAAGTCTTTCTGGAAATGACTCTCACAGCCTTGATTGTCTGTGTGCAATTGTCCTTGGTGCATTCTGGACACAAAGGTCTGAGCGTGGTTTTTAGTTTAGGCATGAAGAAAGGGATCAGGAATGTGAATATGGCCCAGAAAGCAAATCATGTCCTGGGATCATGAATGTGAATATGGCCCAGAAAGCAAATCATGTCCTGGGATCATGAATGTGAATATGGCCCAGAAAGCAAATCATGTCCTGGGCTGCACCAAAAGCAGTGTGGCCTGACTGAGGGAGGGGATTCTGCCCCTCTGCTCTGCTCTGGTCAGACCTCACCTGCAGAGCTGCCTCCAGCCCTGGGGCCCAGCACAGGAAGGACATGGAGCTGTTGGAGCCAGTGCAGAGGAGGCCACAGAGATGATTGGAAGGATGGAGCAGCTCTGCTGTGAGGAAAGGCTGAGAGAACTGGGATTATTCAGCCTGGAGAAGACTTTGGGGTGGCCTAATTCTGGCCTTTCTGCACATGAAGGAGTCTGCAGGAAAGATGGAGAGAGATTATTTACAAGTGCATAGCATGACAGGACAAGGAAGAATGGCTTCAGACTGAAAAGGGGCAGGTTTATTTTGGATATTAAGAAGAAATTCCTTACTGTGAGAGTGTTGAAACACTGGAACAGGTCGCCCAGAGAAGCTGTGGCTGACCCAGCCCTGGAAATGCTCAAGACCAGGTTGGATGGGACTTTGAGCAACCTGGTTAAATGCAGGCTGTCCCTGCCCCTGGCAGGGGAATTTGGCTGATCTTGAAGGTCCCTTCTAAACCAAGACAGAATGATTCTATGTGTATTCCTTAATTTTGTTAGAAAACAGTTCATCCCTTTAACCACAAGCAAGAGAAAAACTAAATAAATGGAGGTAAACCTGAAAGGTTTTCTCCTTTCTTCTGGTTTACACAATTGATATGCACACTTGTGGGTACTTACCTTCCAACTTTTAATTATATTTTACAATCATATAAAGTCGAGAAACCAATATGTTTTTTTTGCCAGACAGGCTCCATAGCCCAGTTCCCAACCCAATCCCTCAAGCATCTTTACTGACACTGTTACAGTGCACAGGGCTGGAGTGAAAAGCCAGATATGAGATCACTTTAATTGATTATTGCTTTTGAGGATTTAGCATTTCCAAACTCTGTCCCAAAAGACTGTGCCATTAGGAAACTGCAGGCCTGAGAACCACAAGGGTGCAAAATGTATCTGGCACAGCGAGTAACCCTGGCCCTATCCAAGGAGGGCAAGAACAGGAGAAAATAAGGGAAGGGGAAGAAAAGAACTATTTAACCTGCAACCTGAGGGAAAAGGCAAACACAGCACCACAAACAAACTGTTTTATGGTTGAATTCCAGTTCAGGATCAGGCTTATGCCATGAGGTGGTTGGTGCAGCAGGACATGGCACTGATGATTTATGAGTTTCCCTTTAGTTCCAACACTCAGGATGACCCAATCTATGTGCTGCCAAATTTTTATCAGGATACATCCCCAATCCCAAGTATTTCCTTGCATAAAAATAATTATGGATGCTAAATCATAGCATTTATTTTATAATAAATTATGAATATCAATAAAAGAAGAAGATTAAAGGCTTGGTCCTCAGCTGGGATGAACGGGGCAGCTCTGCTCATTTCTGTGGTCACACTACAGCAATGAAAGATTTGGTTCAGATAAAATTAAGCACCAAAACAAGGATTTTATCTTCTTTTCCTCTAGGAGTATCATTAGCTCTTTACTTAGTCCTTTCTTTCAAAATTCTGCTGAAGAAGAGAGGAAAATGGATGAGTCATTGCAAAGCTGCAAATATTTGGCCAGTCTAACAGAGTAAAAGCCATTCTCCTATAGAATCTCTTCCTCTGTGGGCTCACTGCGGTTTATTTTAGCTCATGCATGAATGTATCGAGTTGTCTCTTGAAATTCAAGACAAATACTTTAATTCAGAGTGAAAAGGCAAAATAATGAAGGATTGTTGCTCCATGTGCTTAAAAATAAACATCATAAAGCCTGTATTTAAGGATGTCAGATATTCCACAGGTGACTTTCCGGTAATTCTAATACTTCATACTACAGCTGCAACATAAGAAAGACAACAGAAGCCTAAATTCCTCATTTATTGTGGTCAATTGTCATGCATTTGTGTTATTTTTTCTGAGGTGACATTGTTCAGCACAGTAGCTTAAAAATAACACTCCTGTTGCTATTGAACTTTTTCTTTTCCAGTTTTGTTTCCTGTGAAATATTTCTCAAGCATAGACTGACTGAAGTGGGGCAGGGACTGAATCTATCCACAGAAGAACAAGTGCTGAGGACTTTATCCTAATTTTTAGATGTAAATAAAACTGCTGCAACTCTTCTCCAGCCCTAGAGAATAGGTGTAGTCTGCACTGCAGAGAAATTACAGATAAACTTGAAATTCCAGAAGCTCCACTGCCAAACTTCATGTAAGTAAAATTCACTTTTCTACCTTTCCACAACCACGTTGCTTTCAAATAGCTCAGTGGTTAAATCTCTCAGGTACCACATTAAAGGAACTTGTGTAAGTGAGCAACGCTGTGCACAAAATTAGTTAGAGTTCTTTTGGATACAATTATCAGAGAAATCCAATAGTAAGAGTGAATACATGCATTTGTGATGAGAATAACAACACCTGGAAAATCAGTAAGTATTTTTATTAATACTTTTTTATAAAAGAAGAGTACTAATTTATATCATGAATAGTTTGAAATTGAAAGAGAGCAGGTTTAGATTGGACATTAGGAAGAAATTCTTTACTCAGAGAGTAGTAAGGCAGAGGCAGCGGCTGCCTGTGGATGCCTCATCCCTGGAAGTGTTCAAGGCCAGATTGGATGGGGCTTGGAGTAGCCTGGGATAGTGGAAGCAGAGGAATTGGAACTGGATGATCTTGAAGGCCCCTTCCAACCCAAACCATTCCTTGATTCCATGAATGTTTACATCTATGGACAAGAATTTGCATTTGAAGCATGAAATCTTCCAAAGGTCTTAACAGGATTTTTTATGACATATTTATACATATTTTGTAACATATTTACTGCTTCTCTTTATTACATTTTGGTCACATTAATCTGATTGAAATCATAGTGTAAGACAACACTTAACAGGAGCATGAAAAAATCTCCACACTTGCTGCACCTGCTTGGTAAATAAACAAAGCAGCTCAGCCTGTAACTAACTCAACATAAACAGATTTAAAAAAAAGTCTGACACAGGAGCTGATCTAGCAACATCAAAACAAAACAGTAAGGAAATCTTTGCTTCTCTGTTACACACAGCTCCAGTTTCTCACTGAAACTGTAGGAGGGTTTTTATTAAGATACAGATAAGAGGGTTGGGAAAGCAACAACTGTAGGAAGAAAGAGAAAAAATCTGGCTTGTACACTTTGTTTTCAGTGTTCAGCAACTTCAACCTCTTTTCTGAACTTCTCCTAATTGTAACCCCTGGTATCTTCCCATAGGATCACATTGCTGTGCCAGTTTTATGGACTAGAACCTGAGGCATCAAAACACTGACATTAAAAACTACATGAAGTTCAGAGCAGATAAAAAGACCTAACACTGCACTGCTGGTTCTGACTTGTAAACAATGTGACAGTTAAAATCCTGTATATCTGTTATGCTGAGAAGTAATACTCTTACAAAGTTAATATTGTGATGTGTAAAAAATATGTTTCTAAAGAAAGAGGGTGACATTTCAAGAACAGAGGGAAACATCTCAAGAACAAATTCTGATTAAAAGCTGTATTATAGAAGACACACCTGCTATCAATTCACTTTTCTATGTCTAATGCTGACATTGATGCAAGGATGTTAGATTGCCCCAAAGAGCAAAATTTCAGTGCAAACTGAAATGCACCTGGCAGGATGAGATGATTTTTCAGGTCCCTTCCAACCCTAAATGTTCTATGAGTCTGTAATTTTCAGTCAAACCACAGGTCTTCTTCTCTCTCATCTTTTTATTTGGTGTGCAATATTCTTCCTACAAAATAAATAAACTCAGGTGAGCTACTGAGGCACTCATACACAAACACTTCAGAAAAATGTTGTGCCTGCACTGAGAGACCCAGGGCAGAACTGTGTGTAACATGGAAAAGAAAGGTCTTCTAAACACACCTGATATTGTTTTTAGTTCCATACTTTATGTGGTCCAGAGACTCACTTGAAAAACTTTGTGTTACTGCAAGAGCAGTATCCTTTTTCTACAGAATCCTAAATGAGAATAAATGATCAATTTTTAATTAGGCGACTAAAGACCTTAAGAAAATTACTATGCTCTTTTATTCCATTTTTATTCCAGCTGTCAAAGCAGCACAGGATGAACAAATCAGAGGAATGAGAGAAATCTTTCTATGTCCTGGCTGACTTAAATTTATGAACTCACTGTTTCAGTGGTTCCCAAGTAATGATTTCATGTGGACAGCAGGGACTCTATGCAGCCATTGTAAAATGAACTCACACAGGTCAGCAGCATCTCACCTATAACTTAGGGTAACTCTTTTTACCAAGAGGGAAGTGTAATGCAGGAGGATTTTCTCTGAAACAGGGGACACTCACCCCTGAGAGCTGGAGAGGGGCTTTTTCCAGGGGCATGTACTAAAAGGAACAAGGGGGATTGGCTTCAATCTGACAAAGAAATTTGTAGGTAGCACAGATGAACAGACAGAGACTGGAAAATAAAGAAAACATCGTAAGGATCAATATTCATATACACTCCAAATCATTCAGTAAGTGTAAGGCTGATCAACAATGACCACTAATTCCCACAGAAAACAGTCTCTCTACTTAAAGTACTTGGGTTTGTGTTTGAAAACACATTTTCAGAAAATGATTCTCTGGTATCTAAAATGTCATTTGAAGTGTCCAAAAGAATTGCAGAAAGGAGATTTTTTTTTTCATTATGTTGTTTCCTCAGATGTCAGAAAAAATGTGAGAGAAAAAAAGACAAGTTTTTTCAGATATGGTCACTGTAACCTTTTAGCTGATGGGCATTCAGAATATTAGCTAAAATTATCATATACCTAGCAAGCTTAACATAGACTTAAAAATAAAGAAGCAGAAGTGTTCTGCACCAGTCATCCCTGCTCTCCTTTCTGGATTGATGTCCTGGGGGCCCAGTGGACATGGAAGGATTGGATCCACAGACTCACATCCAACTGCTGTATATGTGCTGAAATTTGCATTAAGTACAAGAACACCTTTGATCAAAACATCGCACACATTTTACACATCAAGGGGCTCTAGGAAAAGTATAAGCTTCCAGAGCAGCTGGAGGGATTTGGGGAGGGATTGACAGAGAACAGAGTATGATGCAACTGTCACAGTTCCTGCAAAAAACTGACTCAATGTTTTAATGACAAAGAACCAGGACTGCATAAGGACAAAATAAATTTTTAAAAAAATAGATTTTTTGATAGCAGTTTGAATAAGTAAAAATAAAAGAGTCTGGAGTTGGCTCCGAACTGAACCAGCTGAAAGGCTGTGTCTTTACTGGGAAAGCCACCAAGTGCAATCCTGGAATATCAACGCTGGGGCTCCAGTCCTGGCTGTCCCAGGAGTGTGCTCCACTGACTGGGCACAGTCCTGAACACCCTCCTTCCCTCCCAAGCCTTCCTGGGAACAGTGAGCAGCACAGCTCAAGGCAGCAAAATTATAAAAAACAGCAGAATATGAGTCAAAGAATTCACACGTTTCTAAATATCCTTAAGAACTCCATTCCTTCGTGCTTCTGGGTCTCAAGAAAATGCAATTTTAAAATACATGGTTTGATTTGGCTGAGTACCACGTTTGCCTGAGGTTTAGTTGGGAGAGGAAAAACCCCCAAGAAGTTGACTTCAGTCTTGGAAGCCAAAATAAAATGCAAAGACAAGACTCTGTGATGAGAAGTTCAGCCCTTCAGGATAGATCATGAATTTTACTTCCCTTGTTATTGCATCAGGGCTTCACTGAGAGGGTCCTGACTTCATCCCTTCCTTGGAACCATTCTCACTAAGCCAATGTGGGATCTTTCCCTTCTTTCTAGAAATCAAAGCTACCAATCAGGAGAGGGATTCTGTTTGATTTTCTAGAAAGATGAATGAACTCCTGTGTCCCATGACTGCACCTGGTCATGCTGCAGGGTCAGGTAAGTGTTGTACGGTACCACTGGGGCAGTGATGCTGCAAACCCACACCAGAAAATGCAGACTCAGTACTGGGAGAGCTCCCTCCATGCCATGTTTGGTTTCAGCCAGTTAAATCCAGAACAGAAATTGTCTTGTTTTTGTTTTGTTTTGTTTCCCACTGGGAAATCTAGGAGGTTATTAGCCTGCCTCTAATTAACACATTAACATTTGTTTTGGAGGTCTTAGTTAATAACAGCAACTCATCAAGTGGGTCCCCCAGCTGCTGATTTGTTTTTTTCACACCAGATTTTTTACCTGAAATTTTCTTCCTGATCCTCTGTGTGTTTGCCAGTTTCCCTTGGAGCTTTATTTAAGAATTTCTTTGTGCTTTGTTATGTTTAATAAATTAGAAAAACTGCATTGGTGACTTGCCATTCAGCTCCCACTCCACACACTGCCCAGAAATGCTGATATAATGTTTTATCTTTTTTTTTTTTTTTTTAATCCAAAAAGAAGCAGAGATGTATAAACATTCACATTTTGGTGCCTTTAATGGTATTTACTATGTACTTTTCCTTCACCAAAGCCAGAGTACTGCATAGATTTTTTACCTATGCAGTTGACTTCTTCATCAGAGGTTGATTTAGGTGATTTAAAAAAAACCAACATCCTCTTACAATAAAGGATGTTACTGTGTATAATGTGAAATATTTAGCATCTTGCCAGTTTCTCTTTTCTTTTTCTCCCAAATCCCTATTTCATCAGCACAGCTTGAAATAGCCCTGCAGTTCAGAGCTATCTGCTCATTCTGGTTCCTTTAATGAATATTTACCATCCTGCAGAAAAGTGGAGGATGCCTGGCTGCAGCTGTGCCCCCAAACACCGGAAAGAACTCTGTTCTCTTCAGAGCCATTACCCCCAGCTTCATCACTTAATAGAAGGAAAGACAGTACACGCTACACTATAATGAAATTTCCTATTTTTTTGTTTATACCAGGTTTAATAAGCCCTGTAAATTAAATGAGGTAATGGCATGGACTGCTCAAATAATAGCAGTAGTATTAAACTAAATGTCTTCCCTCTATATTAATAATGCCATAATAAATTATAGGGGACAGTTGCCTTTTCCACCTACCATCAACCTCTGTGTAGACAGAGCAGATGAGAAAATAATTTTACATTTCTACACAAGTTCTCAAGAATCAGAAAAAAACAAGGATCTTAGAAGACAAAGGAGCAAGTCACAACTTACAAAAGTTTAGCTGAGTAAAGATTTGGGCTAATTACCAGGGCTCTCCCTCACTTAATTGAGAAAAATAGGGGTAATCAGACAGTGATTTGTGGGTTTCTCAATAGGGAGGGAGGGGGGAAGGGAAGGGAAGGGAAGGGAAGGGAAGGGAAGGGAAGGGAAGGGAAGGGAAGGGAAGGGAAGGGAAGGGAAGGGAAGGGAAGGGAAGGGAAGGGAAGGGAAGGGAAGGGAAGGGAAGGGAAGGGAAGGGAAGGGAAGGGAAGGGAAGGGAAGGGAAGGGAAGGGAAGGGAAGGGAAGGGAAGGGAAGGGAAGGGAAGGGAAGGGAAGGGAAGGGAAGGGAAGGGAAGGGAAGGGAAGGGAAGGGATTTGTATGTGGCTGCCTTGTAGTGCTGACAGAAACCTTGACTATCACCCTGCTCATGCCTCCTGAGTTTCTGCTGAGATTATTGGTGTGGATAATAAAAAACTTTTCACTGGACACCACCACAGCTCCCCTCTCCCAGCTGAGAGCTCAAATCATCAGCTTTTATGGAACTTTCTCTACATTTGACTGAAACTTGGATTCTGTACCACAAGGGAGATTCCCTCACATTTTTACCAAAGTCAGGACATTGCTGAAGGTTTCTGCTTTTACAAGCAATTTTCTGATGAAGGAAAGCAACAAGAAACGAACAAAAATTTGTCACAAGGACCTGAAACAGAATGTTCAGGATTTACTACAAAGCATTAATTTGATAGATTATTTTGGGCTTGTCTTCATCCCATTAGAAACAACTCTCCCAGGGGCTTCAGACAACATTCTTTTTTCCATATGAAAAAGTGAAACTATTGGAAGATGGAACAGAATGTAAGAATCAGATCCACAGCTCTACCACTGCTCTGGTTTATTCTTTTTCCTCTATAAATCAACTAAATAACTCTTTAATAGTTTTTCCACCTGTAAATTGGAGAGAATTGGTACATTGATGTTGTTCAGAGAATCTGCAGAGCATGAAGTTCTAAAAATAGAGGAATAATGACTGTTTATTAAAACAAGGGCATTTAAAAACTGCCTAAATGAAGAATGTTTATTAAACCTTTATATGAAATCAATGACATAAATGCATGACAGAAAGTAGGTATTGCTGCTGTCCTCAATGCACAGGATACAGGCCTGGAGAGGAGCTGTTGGCTTTTAGGCCTGTTCATCCAGTGAATTATTTGTGTTTTTGGCAACTCAAATACTGTTTCAGCTTTTGAGTGTGAAAAATGGGGATAACTATCTTCTTCACAAGTTTGCTCAGAGGCTACAGCACTCTGACATCTTTGAGTGAAAACAAAGACATAGGATAAATGATGAGTAATTGGGATCAAATGCTGGGGTCATTTAGCTCAATTCCATGCTGTTGGTAACAACTGTATCATAAAAATGTATGAAGCTGCATTTTCCCTTTCATTTTCTGTTTCCAGTATTTACACCACCCCTTCCCTGTATATTAATCAGAACACATGCTCCTGTTTCTCTCAGTCATTTCCTTCCATTTTTACCATTCCAGCCCTCAGGAGCACCTGATTTTTCCTGTGTGTTAGCATGAACATAATCTTTATCGAAGTCTCACAACTTTCTGGCATCAGTAATTTTAATTTACACATAGTGATCCCAAGATGAATAATTATAAAATAACTGAAACAATTCTCCCCTCCCTCATTCCTTCCTTTATTTCTGCATAGTGATCCAGCTTCAGTAGAAAGGGTACAGTGTATTTGGTATCCTGTCTCCAGGATATCCAATAGCCTGTTGGTTATGTCCCAGCATTTCTGCAAAAGATGGATGGGAATACTGGACTGCTCTTTAAGAGAGTTTCTAGGAATCATTTTTATATGGTGCTCAGTGCATTTGTATAATGCTCAGAGCTTACCTAATGGATTGGCTCCTGCAGGGGCTTGGGACATTTCAGGTGGGATTCACCTGAAAAACTGCATTTACAATCTAGGTCCCTACTTGTTCCACATCCCCCTTGAGTTTCCTTATGGTCCCTGGTAAATTAATAAATGCAGGTAGGTTTATGAGTTGGACTTGTCTTACCCTGAAGTAAACTGCCCAGATTTTATCAGTGAAATTCACATTCCAAATGCCATTGATTATATTGAGTAGTTCTCTACCAGCCCTGGATAGATGCAGTGCAGGAGCTGGATTTCATAGTCCTTGTGAGTCCCATCCAGCTCAAGATACTCTTTGATTCTGTGGCCCTGCCTCCAGTTTCCAGACACACGGTAACTTCCAGAGGTGGAAATCTGGGATCTGCTCAGCTCCAGCTGCCTGGGGCAGGCAGGAGAGCAGAAACTGAGTTCAGCTGCCACAAGAGATAAGGGAAAGATTAACAGAGACATTTAAAATTATTCTTTCCCAGAATCACAGAATCATTAAGGTTGGAAGAGACCTCCAAAATCATTGAGCCCAACTTTTGAGCAAACACAATCATGTCAATGAAACCACAGCACAGAGTGCCATGTCCAGTCATTTCTTGAACACCTCCAGGGATGGTGACTCCACCACCTCCCTGGGCAGCCTGTTCCAATGCTTGACAAACACTTCCCATGAAAAAATTCTTCCTGGTGTCCATCATGAACCTCTCTTGGTGCAGCTTGAGGCCATTTCCTCTTGTCCTGCCGCTGGTTGCCTGGGAGAAGAGACCAGCTCCCACATTTCATGTGGAATGTCCAGCTCTGGGCTGCTCAGTACAAGACATGGAGATCTTGGAGTGCGTTTAGCAGAGATGATAAAGGGACTGGAACATCTCTTTTTTATGATGAAAAGATGAGGGAGCTGGGGCTATTCAGCCTCAAGAAGATATGACTGAGAAGGGACCTCATCCCTGTCCATCAGTGTCTGTGGGGAGGGGTCAGAGCAGGGTCAGGCTCTGCTTGGTGTGCCCAGCAATGGGACAAGAGGAACGGGCAGGAACTGATGCCCAGGAAGTTCCACCATTGCACAGAAAGGATGTGGAGTTTCTTTCACTGGAGATATTCCAGAACTGTCTGGACACACTCCTGTGCCTGCGATGACCCTGCTTGAGCAGGAAGGTTGGACCAGATGATTCCACTTTGATGCCTTTCAACTTTTCCCATGCCATGATCCTGTGATTTAAGACTTATGTTTAATTAAATATACACAAAGACTCATGGGCATTCAAACACTGTGGTCATTTTAAAGTAAATTCCAATTATTTCCTTGAAAGCGATTATCACAGACTCACATAACCACGGACTGGGTACTTTGGAAGGGACCACAGAACACAGAATATTCTGAGTTAGAAGGGACCCACAAGGATCACCGAGTTCAACTCGCAAGGGCCCACACGGGGACCGAACCCCGTGATAACCTTGGTGTTATCAGCCAAGGCTCTGCCCAGAGCCATCTGGTCCGAACTCAAGCACGTTCATCCCCAAGCACAGGCACAGGGACACCTGCAGGGAGGGAGGCTCCGCAGCTGGAATATCCCAGTGTTGGAACAAGGGAACAACGGTGCCAGCCGGTACCACTGAGCCACACAAGGGGTTAAACTTCGCCTCTTCCCGAGCAAATTCGCCAGATCCCGCCAGGACCCGCGCTGCCTCGGGGAAGGCGAGAAGCAAGGAGGGAAGGAGGGAGGGGAGAGCCTTAGGGCGGGCGCGGGGCCGGGACGCGCCTTCCCCACCTCCCTCGCCTCGCCTCGCCTCACTCCCTGAGGGGCGGCACCGCGACCCCCCCCAGCCATGTTGGGGGGGGCAGCGCCGCATCCCATGGTGCAGCGCGCCGGGAGGCGGGGAGAGAGGGACGAGGGGAGGAGGAGGAGGAGGAGGAGGGAGGCGGCACTGCCCGCGCAGACCCTCCGGAGCTTTCTCCTCCTCTTCGTCCTCCTCCACCGCGGCTTCTCTTCGCCGCGGCGCTGGAGGCGGCCGTGCCCGCAGCGCGGTGAGTGCCGGTAGCGAGCGCTGCCCGGGGAGGGGGCGGGCGGGCGGGCGAGCGAAGCGGCCCCGATTTACATCATGGGGAGCGGGTGTAGGGGGGCAGCGGCGTCTCCTTCCGTGTCCCCCGCCCCAGCCCTCGGCCTGGGGAGCGGCGGCGGTGGCTCCGCAGGGAAGGGAAGACTGTCCCCGGTGCCGCCCGTTCCTGTGTCCCCGGGGAGGGGCTGCCGCGGACACCGGGGCGCAGGAGGCACCGCGCGGTGGGCTGGAGGTGTCCGGGCAGAGCCGCTTCCCTCCGCGGGAAGGCAGGATGGGAAGGGGATGGCAGAGGAGGAGGCTGCGGGGAGAGGTCATCTGGTGCCCCGCCTGCCCCGTCCTCCACCCCGGGGGATCCGGCCGCCCCCTGCGCCCTGCCCGCCCCGCAGCCCCGGCCGGTCCCACCGGATGTGTCGGGAGGCGGCGAGGTGGAGCGGGACGGTCCGTAAAGTAAACAAAGGGAAGGGAGGAGGAGGAGGAGGTGGTGTCCCCTCGCTGCCGGAGCCGGGCCCCCTGGCTTTGCCCCTTCCCCTCCTCAGGCGAGCGCGTCAATCCGTGGCTGCCTCTTGGAGCCGGAGCGGTAGCCCAGGGGAAGTGGTTGAGGTTTCTTCTCTTTAGGGTTTGGGGGTTTTTTTTTAGGTGTGTGGGCTTTGGGGGTTTATTTTTGGTTTGTTCTGGTACTGCGCTCGCTGGGACCGTGTGATCCAAAGAGAATCGGGGCAGCGCTCCGGTGCCTTGACCCGGGGACAGCCCCCGGCGCCTGCGGCGGGCACGGGGAGCGGCGTCCCCTCGGCTCGGCTCGGCCCGGTGCTGCCGCAGAAGTTGGGTCGCACGGAGGAGCCTTTGCACTTCTTGGAGAAATGTGATATTTTTTCTTTTTCCGGTTGTAAACCTGTTTTTGGAGTACAGTGAGAATTGCAGCTGTAACAGAGAATCGTTCTCCTCAAATCCCCGCAACTAATTGTGGAGCATATGCTGTACGAGTCCAGTTCTCACATCTATTCTCTTCCCAGACCTCCTGTGCTCTGATGATGCTTTTTTGGGACAGTGGATTGACTTTACTCTTTGCTTTCCTGTTCTTTTTTTTGTTGTTTTCTGGCTGAAACAGTGTTGTTTCTGTGTTAGCTGCCTCGCAGTCAGTC